TTATCTGACACAGCAGCAGCAATCCAAACCAGAATTTTTCCAGGCATCATAAATGTAATGAACCACATTCAGTCCCTTGCTGGGGGTTTGGAACTACAAGTCATCACTTTTGATTTGCAACATCAAAACTCTCATGTAAACATTCTGCCTCAGCGATATGGCTGTGGCATGCTTGGCGCCAGGTTATTAGACCTTTCCTCAGAAGTTTGTACTGCACTGCATCACTCTCAGTGCTCTGGGACTACGTACTAGGAAAACATGCATGGCAAGTAAAGGCTTCCCCGCCTGGACTTACATGAATGTGAATTTTAGCAGAAAATCTGGGAAAATATGAATTATTTATTTATGTGTCTAGATGACAAGAAATGACAACTGAATAGGGAGAGACCAATGAGGATGAAAACTGATATACTCCAGTTCTTTTGTAATATACCTGGTATTATTTTGCCATATTTTTCACAGGTTGAAGCCAGGAGACAGCTGAATAGCAGCGTTTATATTTTTTCAGAATGACATTTGGCCTTTGTTTATTTCTCTGTAGAAAGTGATACTTTCCACAAGTAACTGCAGAGGGATGTGCATATCAAGGACTTTGTTTATTTGAGATTGCTTTGATAAGAAAAGTAGCCTACAAATTACTAGATCGGAAGTATGACATGGCTCATTGTCTTATACCATCTCCCTTGATAATAGTTTTTGCAAAGCATCAAAATAAATGTGTGGTAGTCATGTTGCAGAAAGGCATTCAATGGTCCTTTTTCAGATACTTGAAGGTAAAAAGTAGTTAATTAGATTTCAGAGTTTTGCAGGCTTAGCCATGAACGTATTTATGAAGAGATTGGCAGCTTTTTAAGTGAGTTTTTGTTTGGAATTAGGAAGGAATTGGAAAATGAAATTGTTCAGAATTTCTTTATATTTTTTTAAGGAGTGAGAATTTTGCTAAATGAACTCAGATTCTCCTCTTTCCACTGCATGTCACTCTAGTACTCAGCTTTCCTGTACCCACTCATTTCAGACAAGAGAACTGCAATGCCCCATGACAGATGACATAGATACCTCTTTTGCTACCTCTGGAGTTTCTCCTCTTGCAGTCTAGTCTCTACCTGGCCAACAATATCAGAAATGCTTGCACTCCCAAGCCAGGCTCTGTTTTCCAGCACACAAGATCAAATCTCATCTCCATCCTACCAGTTTATTTCTACCAGGCAGAAAACCTCTGATGTTTTTCCCTTGAACTGAGATTAATGTATCACAAAATGAATTTAATCTAAATTTCATTGTGACTCACATTTCCTATTCATATGGCCAGGTATTTATGCAGAAGCTAAAGATCATATATCAGCTTGATTATTTTAAGTAATCATTGGCTTGAGGACAGGTTTTCTGCTGTAGAATTATACTTTTTGATTCCTTTGTAATGTTCTCTACATGCTATAAGGGTGTCAAGACGTCCTTAAAGATGCAGATATTTTTATTTAAATAAAGAAAAAAGAAACTTGTTGTGCTTAAATCACACAAGTATTCACCTTGTGTCAACTAAATAATAAGATAGGTTCCTTGCACCTGGAAGGTATTAATAAATAATAATATAACAATAATGAATGCATATTTAATATACAGAACAAAATACTTCTTAGTAATTAAGTACCATCTTGAATCTTAGGATCTTAAAAGCACTATATTACTATAAATGAATGAAAATTTCTCTAATTTTATTGGGTTTGAGATACATAATTACTACCACAGCTTTCAAGAACAGGGCACAGATAGTTTTTAGCTTGTCTAATGCCAAACTGACAAATAGTCACAATCCTACGATATTTTAATTCTAAACATGAGTAAACCAGTGTGTTATAGAGAAAAACTAGATCAACTTTTGCATTCACTTTCATGAGAAGAATTACACATGTTATTTAGAGAGGCAAGCATTACATACAGTATGTAGAGGTTTTATACTGAAGGGCTGAGAGAATGGTGCTGGCTCAGCTTGGAGAAGTGGCTTTGAAGGGGACATAACAGCAGCTCCCAGTACCTACAGGGAGGCTGTCAGTGAGAGGGAGCCAGACTCATCACAGCCTTGTGGGAGGACAAGAGATAATGGATGTAAGTTGAAACACAGCAGATTGAAGATGGATATAAGGAGAAATTTCTTAATTGAGTGGACAGTCAAGCAGTAGAACAGATTCCCCAGAGAGACTGTTCGTTCTTAATCCTCAGAATTTTTCAAGACCCAACTGAATCAAGCCCTGTACAATCAAGTCTCACCCAATAGCGTGAGCAGGAGATTGGACTAGAGATCTCCTGAGATTGCTTCCAACCCGATGACCCTACAATGCTACATCTGTCAAATACGATAGTTGCTCCATTAACATCTGGCAACTATTCTAGTCTGTAGTTTAAGTCCTAAACCTGCAAATTCCTATTCCTGTGAGTGGATTTAATGATATCAATAGTCCCTGTGAGGTTGATAGGATTGCTGGCAAGAGTAAGGCATTAAAAGATCACGTCACTAGTCTGGAAACCACTTTTCTTTTTTTCTTCGGTGACTGGACATGTCTTCCCTGAAAAACCTCACATGTCAAGGAAATTATTGGAAAGGCAAAATATTATTCCTTTGGTATTCGTGGTTTTACATGCTAACTTCCTGTCTTTACAAACAGGTTCCCCCTAATTGTCATGTGAAAAGCCATGATTAACACAAGGGAAATTAATTTAATTTATAATAGAAAGTGCTGTCAAATAAAATGTCTCATAATAGAGGAAAATCTATTTACTTCTCAGTTTTAGTAACCTTAGATATCAATAGGACATAAATCAAACTGAGAAAGTGGTCTTTGTTGTAGTTGTTGCAGTTATTGTTGTTCTTTTCAACCACATTATGTCCCTCTGGCAGAACTATTTTAATTTTTCGATGAAATTTCACCCTTTACCCTTGCCACAAATTTGCAACCAGTGTGATGGCCTGTTCCTACCCGGATTTTATTTCATGTATCAAGACCTGTTTTCACAGGTGGGCAAAAAATATATTTGCTCAACAGGGCTATTTTCAACCTATAATAACAAAACAGTCTGGTAAAAAGAAAAATAGAAATTCAGCACTTGGAAGTTAATTTAATTTGTAGAAATGTTATTCAGCAACTAAGACAGATCTCTATCTGTTAGAAAATTTCAAGTTTGCTTTCAGTAGAGAGCTTAGGTAGCTTTACATTGCTTCCAAGAAGGCTAAACTTTTCTCTTTTTGGCACTACACGAATAATGGAAAATTCGTCATTTAGACTTACTTCCTCTATGCAAGAATTCCATCCCATTAAGTCTCTTATCAGGCTATTTAATGTAGAATACGACTTGTGATTTATGGAGAAGTGTGTCTAATTCCAGAGCAGGTCAGACTTAACTGCAAGTTTAGTAGGGAGCATTTTATGTTAAAAGGAGTGGTTACTGCATAGGATACTTACACATGGACAAGAGTAGCTAGGAGCTGAATCTCAGGGATGAGCATAGATCTCTCAGGAATTCTTGTATATTGTTTCTTGACCACTTCTATTACAAATCATAAACTTATAGATAATCTGAGCAGAATAGTGCATGCTGATTTTCTCTGAGAAGTGCTAAAGCCACGCACTTAAAGAAGGCTAATGTGTATCCAGAATACTTCCTTAAAATCTGAACTCAAATATTTGAAAAATGGTAATTTCAACTTCCTCTGTTTGGGAATATTTTATAAAAAAATACATGAAAACCATAAAACCCAATTTCTCTGTATGACCTGGTTTCAGTGCATTCAGCTGCAATTCCTTGGCTTCAATGTAATCTAAATTCCAATATTATATCTGGTTCTCTTTCTGCTTCATTTTCATAATACACCTGGAGTCCTCTATATTTATTTGAACCCTGAGCCAGTATTCCTCAGGCTTAATATTATTAGCTTCCTTCATCTGTTTTATCAGAGGATGGTGTGTTGCAGGTGCTTACCTA